TGAACACAGTACAGTTATGAATTGTATTTTTAAAAATTTTAATGTTATAGGTCATGCATTTAATGATATTCTTCTATGAGGACACTGTCATTAGCTAAGTAGAAGAAAAAAGTAAGGACACTGGTAGAAACTTCTAGTCTCTGGCTTGTTTGATATGCTGTCCTTCAGCATTAGCAGAGCTGTATTTATGTTGCTATTCTTAAATCAAGTTCCAAAATGTATTGCTGCACTCTACCTCCTTTGATAATGTGGTTTCGGAGTGTCATATAAACCCAGGTGTGAATCGGATAGTGCCAGCTCACTTTTCTCACTGTAGAAGTGAGCATACGAATACTCAGAAATATACTGTTGTCAAAGTACCTACACAATCGTCCTCTCCTGAAAAAGACCCACTGTCTATGAGAACCCTGGGAAGTCACACACATTACAGATCTTCACGTCCACTGTAGAAATTTACCTTGACTCACAGGCCTTTATGCACAGGTAGGTTGATTTGGAGAACTGTGTGTGACAAACCTCTGTGGAATCATGAAAACCCTGTCATGACTCTTGGACTCAAAAGTTGGGGAGCACGCTGTATCGGACTCTTGTTTTCCTTCCACTTGATTCTCCTTTGTAGTTTCAGTGAAAACATTTGCTTACGAACCTCTCTCTGATCAGGCTGAGAAGAAAAGCAGACCCTGCATAGACTAATCTTGCCATGTATTTAAGAGGAAATACAGAAGACTTTTCCTTAAAGGTTAGAAAAGCAAAAATCCTGTATTAAAATGGCTTTAGTAAATGTTTATTTCTACTTTGAAGAAGCATATCTGATTTTGGAGTTTAGAAGTTCACAGTCGTGTCCCCGATAGCATGTAGTTCATATTTCACAATTTAACGTTATCAGAGGCTTCAATGACCATTTTTAATTATTTAGGCTTCAAGGAGATAACCTGGCAGAAAGGACAGAAGAGACATTACAAATACTTCATTCTCCAGATGAAACAATCCCAGATTCTTTGGGTAAGTTTTAAATCCAACAATATTTACTGCAGTTTTAGTGGCATGTAAAGATTAAAAAAAAAGCAAGAAAGAAACTAAGGCAAACATCTTCCCCTGCACCAAATCACTGTAGCTGCAGGTCCCACGTCCACCACCAGCACATTCTTTCAGGCTGTTTGTGTCAGGAGGTTAAGGGCAAAGGAGAAAGGGAAGAGAGAAATGTGGATTCTGAGGAGCAGTGTCTTAGTGCCCGTCCTATTTAAGGTCCAAACAGATCAACTATATGTAGGCTACCCCACAAATTATGTCACTAATTCCAACTTGTTTCCAGAACTCCACATTGCCTGCTGGCTCTCCAGAAAATGGAGCTCATTATCTGCCCCTCGAAACCTGCTCTATCTCCTACTCTCATTCTCACGTCATTGATCCATTCATTCTTCTTGGGCAGAAAAATCAACATCATACTTGACAACATCATACTCCCTCTCCCCCACCCTATGTTAAATTGGTCTCTAATCATGTCCATGTCACTTCAGAATTTCCTCTTTAAGCCAGCTGAGTCTTCATTTGCCCTGATATGGCCTAGTCTATGCTTTTCTCCTCTTCATCTAGTGCTGTGGTCCCCAACCCCTAGGCCATGGACTGGTATCAGTCTATGGCCTGTTAGGAGCTGGGCTGCACAGCAGGAGGTGAGCGGCCAGTGAGCGATTGAAGCTTCATCTATATTTACAGCTGTTCCCCATCACTCACATCACTGCCTGAGCTCTACCTCCTGTCAGATCAGTGGCAGCATTAGATTCTCACAGGAGCGCAAACTCTACCTTAAACTGCGCATGGGAGGGATCTAGGTTGCAGCTCCTTATGAGAATCTAATGCCTGATGATCTGAGGTGGAGCTGAGGTGGTGATGCCAGGGCTGGGGAGTGGCTGCAAATACAGATTATCATTAGCAGAGAGGTTTGACTGTACAATAAATGTAATGTGCTTGAATCATCCTGAAATCATCCCCTCCCCACCCCTGGTCCATGGAAAAATTGTCTTCCATGAAATCAGTCCCTAGTACGACTTTCTTTGCTCTCCTTGCACTATCTCACCTCTCTTTAGCTTGTTATCTATCTTTTATTCCATCCCCATTTTCTATAGGACGAAATTCAAACTCCTTAACTTGGCATACAAAGTTAATGTCAGAGCACTTCAAAATGTTTGCTGACTCAATAAATAAGTACAGGTAATGCTACTCCCGTGACACCTAAGGTACATCACGGCTTCATCAGTAGGTGTTCTAGCAGCATGCAGTCAGCATATCCGATCAGGTTAGTTAGAAAATAAACTATAGGAAAATATTCTCCTTATACCTTGGTAGAGAAAGCCATCTTAAAGAAGATGCCAAAATTCCTGATCATAAAAGAAATAATTGAAAAATTCAACTATAGAAAATTAAGAGCTCCTGTTCATCAAAAGATGCCAGAAGAAAAGCCACAAAATGGGAGAAGAGATTTGCAAGATATTTGCCACTGATCAAAGACTAATATTCAGAATA